AAGACAGGATTTAAAAAACAGAATTGGCTAGGATTAAATATAATTTTTGAAAGAGCATACTATGGACTTGAAACTTAAGAAAAGAGAAAGATAAGGCCTTATGTTATACATTAGAAGACAGAATAAATGTAAGACAGAAATAGAGTTCCTTCCAACTCTAGAGCTTATGAACCCAGGACTTGTGGGTGAGAACTGGATACCTCCAAGGGCACTTTTGACAGCTTACTACCCATAGTGAGAGCAAGAACAAACAGAGGACCATGTCCACAAAATACTCAGAAACCCTGAGCAAGGCCCTTGGTACATTTAGTGGATCTTTTGTGAAGGATTTATAGAAAAAATTATGAAAAAGAAATGCACAGGATAAGAATATATGGCTAGGTGTGATCTGCCTGAGTAGAATGCCAATGAGATGATATATACTTTACATATTAAAATTATGTTTATTACTCTGTATTAATATTTTATGTTTTTGGGATTTTGGCTGTAGGTTTTCTAAGGTTCAAAAGATGCAGAAGTAATAATGTACCTTTATTAAAGGGTAGCAACAAGAGTTATTTTAGGACTAAGGTATTTTAATCCTTAAGTATAATTTCTTGGGACCTAAAATATTGATGACTCACATTCACATAGTTCTTTAAGGATTAAAAAATTTCCCCCTGGAACAAATGAAGTGACTTGCCCAGAATCACACAGCTGGTAAGTGTCAGAGTCAGGATTCAAACTGAGGTCTGCTGACTTCAGTGCTCTTTCTATGACAACGTGTTATATCTTAATATAGCAAGTTCTTTTATCTAGCCTTGAACTCTATTATCTGGCATTGCTCAGGAGTGAAGGAATTAATGGAGAAATGCTGTATTTCAGTTAACAGTACCGTAATATAGTTGTGTGACTTCAGAAGTCAGCTAATAATACCTTTGAGTCTCGGGTTCCTTATATGTAGAATGGGGATAATGATACCTACACCACCTACCATACAGGGTTGTTGTGAGGAAAACTCCTTGTGAGCCTAACTTAAAGCACTAAAAAAAAACCTGTGATCTTTTAATAGATTATGTGTATTTATGGCTAATTCTTAAAGCATCAAACCTCTTACTGAACACCATTTAATCTTTTTTTTTGTTGTTGATTCAGAGGGCACTTCAAGATATTTCAATATCTGAGAGAAGTTGTTAAGAATATCCCTTATCATTGTACACTGAAGTATGCAATCTCAGCTTGAGTATTCAGGTGGATAGAGTGCTAGATGAGGTAGTTTTTATTGAATTAAAATATAATCAGGATAACATAGCACTTTGTAAAATGGCTACAGCTAAGAAGTTTGACATTTTATTTATTCAAAGATATGCATGTACATATTTATTTTATAGATGTCTGTATGTATATGAACTTAATTGATTTTGTGGATGACTTCTATTTTTACATCATGTTCATTTTTGGAAGCACCACTTCCCTGTCACCTCTCTCAAATCAAACTCTCCTGTAACAAAGAAAAAGCAATTGAATGAAAACACCCAATACTGTGGCAATGTGTGACAATGTGTGCAAGATGCAGTTGGCAATATTTTTAAAATGATTCCCCCCTATAAGAAACATAATTTAATATGTTCAATTCTATCTAAGATCATTTGACTTAGAGCAAGAAGGGGACCTTAGAGATCATTTAATTTAGACTCATCTTACTGAAGAGGAAACTGAGGCCCAGAGAGATACAGTAATTTACTTGCTCAAGATTTCTAGGCAGTAAGTTACTGAGGGAAGATCTGAAGACCCAGGTCTTCATTACTCATTATCAGTAACCTCTGATTCAGGCTGTAAATAGCATGGGGTGAATGGGGCTTGGCTGAAGGATGCCAATACTGAGGGCACACTTCCTTCTCAGGGGACAGACTTTTGCAGTCCTTTGTCTAGACCCTGTTCCCCAGGGCCAACCACATAACACCCTCCCTTTTTCTATCAGGGATGCAGATACTCTTGTGGCACTTGATGATGGATGAGAATTCTCCTCCTAGAGACTCTATATATAGCTATATGACTCTGTTTGCCACTGTACCCACCCCTCCACTTTCTTTTATATCAGTATCAATTTTGGTTCTTTGCAGTTCTTCCCACAACATAATCATTACAAAGGAATCCAGTTCTGATTGTTGCCATGCTCTTTCTGTGACATCTTGAAGAGCTCATCTCAGGGATGTTATCAAAAAGTTGGGCTAATGTTGGAAAAGCACTTTAGGATCTTGGATTTGAAAGCTTTGGGAGAAGAGCACAGCAATCATTTTTTTAAAAACTAATGATTTGTGGTACTCTTGAAATATCATCTTAGTGATAAAATTACATTTACTTTTAGTGTTGCTGTGTTAAATAAGCCTTTAATGACATGTTATTCAACAATTCAATTAAATTCAACAGTTATTTTTAAGTACCTCCTATGTGTAAGATCCTGTCTTGGGTGCTGGAGATAAAAAGAGCATAAAATTATAGACCCCGACCTGGAAAGAGACATTACAGGCCATAAAGTCCATCTAGTTTATATTATAAATGAGGAAACTGAGGCACAGTAAGGTTAAGTGACTTGTGCAGGGGTAACATAGCTAGAAAGTGTCTGGAGGCAAGATTTCAATCCCAGTCTTCCCTATCCCAAGTCCAGAGCCCTGTCTAACTATGCCACAGTAAAAAACAGCAACACATTCTTTGATATCAGGGAGTTTGCAGTGGGAAGCAGTGGGGTATAGTGTAAATACTGATCTCATATTTAGAAAAAGTGAATTTGAATTATAGCTTCACTGCATAATGGTTGTGTCACCTGGAGCAAGTTTTCTTAACTTTTTCTGAACTTTAGCTTCCTCATCTGTAAAATAAGGATTATTAATACTTGTGCATCTATTGTTACAAAGAATGCCTTCTGCAAACCTAAAAAACTCTGTATAAATGTGAATTAGTATTAGAATTGGTTGTGAAATAATATACACAAGTGTGATACAAATTAGAATAATGGGGCAAAGGAGATATCCAGGCTATATTGGAGAGATCCAATTTCTAATTTCTAGGAATTTGTGAGAAGGGAGGGCTCAGTTTCGGGGAGGCTTCAAAAAGGAGGGGGTATCTGAAGCTAAAACTTGAAAGGAGAGGATTTTAAGAGGCAGAAATGAGAAGGGAGTGTTTCTTATGCCTGAGGGAATAGGACTTATTATTGTAGAGAGATGGGAGATGTCAGGATAATATGAAACAAGGATGGAAAGTATAAATTAAGAATACACCATTGTGGTCCCTCCCCTCTCTGCCACTTCACTCATTTCTCTCTTGGAATAAAGATATTAATTAGAATCAGAGAAAGAAGAAAGAAAATGAGATCCACATGTCATTTAATTTAATGCTATTTGTTTTCTTAGCTCACTGTGCTGCAAATATACCCTTTTTGGAGTTCTCATAAATAAATAAAAACCCAACCAAAAAACCTCCCTACTTCATTGGCTATTGAGTTTTTTGTTTGTTTTATTTTGTTTGTTTGTTTTTACAATAGCTGCTGTAAGCCTGAATCCCTTTCTCCCTCCATCTTTAATAACTGCAGTGCACACACATAAGCATGACTTCTCCAGTGGCTCCATGTCAATGGCTTCATTCAATGGGTTTCACATTGATGTTTCAGAATGATAACACCTCTGCATCCCAAACCAACAACTCTGGTGGGGAATCAAGAGACTCTGGTTCTATATCTGGTTCACAGATATGCCACGAATTAGCTGTGTGACTGTGGACAGATTAGTTTTTCTGATTCTGATGTGCCTTCTTTCTCTGTAGAATGAGGAGGTTTGAATAATGAGCTCAGTTATTTTCCATTTTGAAAATTCTGTGATTTTGTGATTCTTTTGCTCTCTAATCTGGAAGGTCTTTTGACTGGCTTCCCAGTGTAGACTGATTCCTTGTTCAAGAGAGTTTATAATATTAACTCATTTATATAATGTTTGAAGGTTTACAAGGCACTTTTATCACAATAAACCCTGTGATTCTACTTTATGAACTCTGTGTTTCAGCCCACCTGGCCTACTTGCTATTTCCTGAATTCCACATTCTATTTCCTCCTGCCTCTTTGTCTGTCTACAGGCTGTTGTCTTTCAAAACACTTTGCCTCTTAGAATCCTTAGCTTGAGCCAAGGCATACCTCACATACCACTTCCTGCAGGAAACCTTTCCTAATTCCCCTTATCAATGTTTTTTCCCTCCTCAAATTATTATATGTATACATATATTATATATTTTTGGTTTTGTCTTAGTATATGTCCAGTACCTAGTAGAGTCCTTGCACATGGTAATCTGCATAGTAATGCTTGTTGGATTGGACTAGATTGGAGGTATAGTGTGCAAGTATTATCATCCCCAATTTATAGATGCTGTAGCTAAGGCTCTGTTAGCTAAGCTAACAGAATAGTTAAATGACTTGCCCAGGTGGGAATTTGAAACCAGGTCTCCTGACTACTGTTTCTTCCAAACCACACTGTTGTGCCCAAGCATATATATTACAATATAAAAAATTATACATGTATATGTATGTATGTATGTGTGTATATATGTAATTATTTATAATATATATTATTTAGCTATATATATATACACATATATACACATATTTATAAATAATTCTATGGAGTAGGGGGATCAGGGAGGTATTTTTTAATGATAGAGAGAAGGAATTATATAAACTAATAGGCTCACAATAATCAGATTTGGGAATTTCCTTTATTTTAAATATGGCATTATAGAAGGTACTTGACTCTAAATCCAGCCCTTGGAATTTGTAAAATGGGATACCTGAATCATTCTTTTATTGAGTCACTGGTGCCTTGATCTGAATTGGTATGATTTAAACCCATTCTGAGAGCTATCAATGCCTGTGTTTTGGTGAACCTTCATGATTCTAGGGTCAAGGACTGATTTATATAATTTTCAGGCCATGGATCCATTATTTTGTGCATTTTTTGTCTTCTTTCTTCCTTTATTTTTAGAGGGGACATTACTGGCCTACTATGAAAAAAACACACGGGATTTTCTGTTCCCTGAACCTAGGCTGACTCCTCTATATCCTGGGGTAGACCGAGAAGTGCTGATGAAGACGCTTCTAGGCTTTCCAGTAAGTTATTTGTGCCCAGCCACTTCTTGCTATATAAGTAAAACTCAGGATCTATCCATTTTCATCTCTACTCTGATAGTACTTTGCTGCAGGACCTTGGGCAGGCCACTTCATATTGAGAAGCAGAACCCATTTCTTTTTAGGGATATATAAGTAGGCCTGGGTAACTCAGTGAATATTAGGCACTTAGGATATCAAACAGCACCCATATCTGCTGCTGAACTGAGACCTGAAACTCTTCTCTACTTCTTTGCTGAGCCATACCCATAGCTCACATTTCACATACACATTTCCCTTGGAATGAGTATAAAGTTTTGTTTTTTCATTTCCCTCAGATTTTAAAAAGAGCATGGGAAAAGCCTGAATCCATCAACAGAAGGCAATTGATTTAGTGTGAACAAATGCCACTTCACATTTTATTGTATTTTTAGTTTTTCAAAGTGCTTTCATGTCAACTTCACAATAACTTTCTGAGGTAGGAAGGCGAGGTATTTATTAGCCCGTTTTACAGGTAGTGAAAACTAAGAAGAATTTCCTCTTCCAAGAAGGTTTCCTTTATTTACCCAGCTAAAAATAATCTTAGATTTTTCTCAAAATTTTTTTGTCTAGTTCTCTCTTTTGCACTTACCTTATTCTCCCTTCTACTGTGCTTGTATTACACCTTCTTGTATTACACTGTATACATGGTATATTAGCCCCTACGAGTTCATTGAGGGCAGGGACTATATAATTTTTCCTCTTTGTGCCTCTAATACTTTGTACAGGACCTTCCAAATGGAAAATGCTTGATAAATATTATTGAATAGAATGGAATTGAAAGTTCATGAAGTGATGTTTTAGCACCTTAGATTGGTACATCAGATCTTTAGGCAAGAATATAAAGGTTTGGATGTTATATAAACCACATCTAGAATCTGATTTTTTTTATCAGCTGTTGTTATGATTCTATAATCATTGTAATGCCTTCATCAACTTATTATAGTTAATGAATTTTTACTATAGTTAGCTCCATTAAAAGACTTCTCCGTTGCCTCATTGGAGTATGGTAGGGACCCTGAGCCATGGAAAGCCAATGGAAAGCAAGTTTTGGTGGGCTCTACCAAGCTGGAAAGGCCTTGACTATCACCCCAGTAATAGATTATGCTCCACTGTCTAAGGACCATACCCACTAAATATGAGGCTCATTACCAACAGGTTGACCTAGTTTAGGTAATAACTTCTTTGACCACAACAAGCCTGAAAACAAAGAAAAATATGAAATGTTCTGCAATCGTATGTGGTTGCCTTCTGCTTCCACAGTAGTGGTTGCTAAGTAGTGGGAAAGTAGGCAGAGGGCTGCACAATAGATGCTAATTTAAGCATTGGTGATTTAAATGTGAGATCAGTGTCCAACAACTATCAGGTAAGTTGGTGTCCTACTGGGGAAGCTGAATTACATTGGTTTTGACCTTCTCACTTTAAATTAAACTAGATGACATTTTTAAAAAGGCACAGCAAAATAAAAAGGATGGATTACGGTTTGTCCTCGAAAGGTTGGTTTATGGTTGGCAGGGTTTATGTTTCATTGCATGTGCAAAAACAAGTTATGTCTCCTTGAAATAGCCCTGATAAGCATAAATAAAAAGACCACAATGAAGTTGATTGCAGTTTTTCATTCTAATATCTGTGAAAGAGGCTAAAGAAGAGAAATTCTACAGAGAACTTGGCAAGATTTTCCCAAACAAGTTGGCATATATCATGCTACTTGATGACTTCAGTGTATAAGCAGGCAAAGGGAAGAATAACAAAAACCGTGTTGGGAAATACATTTTGGAATTTTAAAAAATCAAGAGAAAAAAGCTTGTAGAATACTTAGAAACTGTTAGCATATAATAAATATTTTCAGGGGAGTTGGAAAGCAGTAGATAGTATAAGCACCAGACATTGTGATAAGAAATGAAATTGACTGTCTTAATAGAAAATGATCAGTTGTTTATATGATGGGAGTCATTTCCAAATCAACTATCTGGGTGCAACTGGACCAATTGATTAAGACAAACTTCAAAGTCAAAACCAAATTAGAAGATGAAATAAGTGTTAGAAAAAAGTGTCCAATTATAGCAACTCCAACTTGACCTATTTAAGCAAGCTTATTGATTTTGGAAAGTAGGAAAAGGGATGAAGGTCAGGCAGTAAGTCAATAAGCATTTATGGTGGCACAGCGGATAGAGTGCTGGACCTGGAGTCAGGAAGACTCATCTTCCTGAGTCCAAATCTGGCCTCAGACACTTACTAGCTGGGTGACTCTGGGCAAGTCACTGTTTGCCTCATTTTCCTCATCTGTAAAATGATCTGGCAAACCACTCCAGTATATTTGCCAAGAAAACCCCAAATGGGATCATGTAGAGTTGGACATGACTGAAAAAATGACCAAACAACAACAAAGCCATGTTTATATCACCATTTATTAGAGAAGTTTGACCAATGTAAAGCAATTGCCACAAAAAGAGGCCAAAAAGACTCAGAACCTATCTGATCCAACCAACATTTGAGTTCTTTGTCAAGTGAATAAACATGGTAGCCTGGGGAAACTACTTGAGAATAAAAGCTCATTTGCAAAATATCATAAAGAGGGATGGTAAAAGATAATCTTACAAAATGGTGAAGGGGAAATAAATTTGCAAAAAGTTTTGTGAGAGATCTAATTAATCCAGATAATCCCAAGAACATTTATATATGGAAAAGGAAGTAGAACAACTAATAAACACAAGATGAATTAGATTTTCTAAGGTTTCTGTAGCAATCTCTTGTTCTTTATTACTAAAAAAAGGATGCCACATCACCTAACAGGTGATATGACAAAAGAAAAATGGCACTCCTGTAGATGAAATTGTTGGATTTGATAAAACACATGGAAGAAATTTGTGTTAGAAGTGACACAATTTTGAAAATAATTAGGCATCTATTCTGAAGATGTCTCAAAGACAGAAAGATAGCAAAAGAGAAAAAAAAATCAAAGCCAATATTTTTTTTATTTCTGTTTATTCCCCCAAAAAAGCAGCAGAGAAGATATTAGCAACTATAAATCATTTATCTTCTTTCTCCTTCATATAAAACCTTCATGAGAATGGTCTATTAAATCATTTAGGGTATCTTGGATGAATATATGAAAAGCAAACAAGATAGATTTTTGTGGATTATTTTCTATAGCAAATGACAATTTTATTTTAATTTTTAATTTAAAAATTTTTCCCACTTAATATTATATTTTTTTCAATTACATGTAAAGATAGTTTTCAACATTCATTTTTATAAGATTTTGAGCTCCAAATTTTAGTCCCTCCTTTCCCTCCTCAAGACACCAAGCAATCTGATATAGGTTATACATGTACAATCATGATAAACATATTTCCACATTAGTCCTGTTGTGAAAGAAGAATCAGAACAAAAGTGGAAAACCACAAGAAAGAAAAAAATAAAAAACAACAACAAAAAAAGTGAAAATAGGATCCTTTGATCTGTATTCAAACTCCATAGTTCTTTATAGCAGTCTGATATAGGCTTACATGTACAATCCTATTGGACATATTTCTACATTAGTCATGTTGTGAAGGAAGAATCAGAACAAAAGGGGACAACCATGAGAAAGAAAAAAAAAAGAAAACAGTATGCTTAGATCTGCATTCAGACTCCATAGTTCTTTCTCTGGCTGTGGATAATGTTTTCCATTGTGAGCCTTTTGGAATCGTCTTAGATCCTTGTATTGCTGAGAAGATCTAAGTCTAACATAGTTGATCATTGCACAATGTTGCTGTTACTATGTACAATGTTCTCCTCGATCTGCTCACTTTACTCAGCATCAGTTCATGTAAGTCTTTCCAGGTTTTTCTGAAACTATCTTGCTCATCATTTCTTATAGAACAATAGTATTCCAATTATATTTATGTGCCACAATTTGTTCAGCCATTCCCCAATTGATGGGCATACCCTTAATCTCTAATTCTTTGTCACCACAAAAAGAGCTGCTACAAATATTTTTGTACATGTGGGTCCTTTTTCCTTTTTTATGATTTCTTTGGGATACAGACCTAGTAGTGATATTGCTGGATCAAAGAGTATGCACAATTTTATAGCCATTTGGACATAGTTCTAAATTGTTCTCCAGAATAGTTGGATCAGTTCACAACTCCACCAATAATGCATTAGTGTTCTAATTTTCCTACATCTTCTCCAACATTTATCATTTTCCTGTTTTGTCATATTAGCCAATCTGATAGGTGTGATGTGGTACCTCAGAATTGTTTTAATTTGTATTTCTCTAATCAGTAGTGACTTAGAACATTTTTATATGACCATAGATAACTTTAATTTCTTCATCTGAAAACTGCCTCTTTATATCCTTTGACCATTTAACAATTGGGGAATGACTTGTATTCTTATAAATTTGACTCAGTCTCTATATATTTTAGAAATTAGGCCTTTATCAGAGACACTGGCTGTAAAAATTGTTTCATAGCTTTCTTCTTCTCTTCTAATTTTGGTTGCATTGGCTTTGTTTGTGCAAAACCTTTTTTTTTTTAAATGAGGCAATAGGGGTTAACTGACTTGCCCAGAGTCACACAGCCAGTGAGTGTTAAGTGTCTGAGGCTGGATTTGAACTCAGGTCCTCTTGACTCCAAGGCTGGTGCTCTATCAAACTGTACCACCTAGCTGCCCCCACAAACCCTTTTTAATTTAATGTAATTGGATTATCCATGTTGCATTTCATAATGTTCTCTACCTCTTGTTTGGTCATAAATTCTTCACTTTTCCATAGATCTGACAAGTAAACTATTCCTTGCTCTCCTAATTTGCTTATGGTATCACCCTTTATGCTTAAATCATGTACCCATTTTGACCTTATCTTGGTATACGGTGTAAGATGTTAGTCCATGCCTAGTTTCTGCCATATTATTTTCCATTTTTCCCAGCAATTTTTGTCAAATAGTGAGTTGTTATTCCAGAAATTGGAGTTTTGGGGT